GTAAAGTAACTTAATAGTAGTATATATATATATATATATATATATATATATATATATATATATGTATATATGTTCATTAATTATGTTATTATTATTTACAAGATTCTATATACCCGATCATCCTTGATTAAAACCCTTCTTTTTCACCTAAAACACTAGTAATTGCAACTTCAGTAGTTGATAATAAACTTGTAACACCAGAAGCATTAGTTAATGCACTTCTAATTGTAGCATAAGGATCAATAATACCATCTTCATACATATCAACTAATTCACCAGTTTGAGCATTAACACCAAAACTAAATGATCCATTATCAACTTTACTTTTCAAATGACCAGATTCAATACCTGAATTTTCCAAGATTTTAGTAAAAGGTGAAGCTAAAGCAGATTGAACAACATTTATACCTAATTTTGTATCAAATGATTCATTATTAAAATCTTGTTTTTTCAAATGGAAACTAGCTTTTAATAATGCAACACCTCCACCTGGTAAAAATCCACTTTGTAAAGCAGAATAAGTTGAATTTAAAGCATCATCTAGTCTATCTTTTTTCTCTTTAACTTCAAATTGTGTAACACCACCTGGTTTTATAATTGCAGCACCTCCTGTTAATTTTGATAATCTAATTTTTAATTGATCATAATCAGAAATTGAAGTTTTATCATCTTCAATTGCATTTCTAATTAATTCAATACGTTCATCAATCTTAGATTGTTCACCATTACCACCAATTATAGTAGTTTCATTTGGTGAAACAGTAACAGAACTTGCAGAACCAAAATGATGTCTTGTAGCTGTACTTGCAACATCACCAGCCCCGGTATCAACAATCTTGGAACCTGTCGCAGCTTCCAAGTCTAAGAAATATTGATCTCTATGAGCACCAAAACCTGGTGCTTTAACAGCAATTACATTAACTTGACCTCTAACTTTATTTAAGATTGAAATTGCTAAAGCATCACCAATCATATCTTCAGTAATGATTAATAATGAACGTTTAGCTCTTTGTGCATGACTTAAAGTTGGTAATATTTGTTGAGCATTTCTTAATTCACCTTTATGTAACAAGATTAAAGGATTTTCTAATTCAACTTTAGAACTTGGTTTTGATAAATTACCAAATTGTGGAACAATAAAACCTCTATCAAATCTTAAACCTTTAGATACGATTAATTCATCTTCTAATTTATTACCACTTTCTATAGTGACAATACCATCTTTACCAACTTGTTCTACGGCTTGAGCAATTAATTCACCTAATTTTTCATCACCATTTGAAGAAACAACAGCAATTTGTTTCATTTGTTCATTACTTGTGACTTCTTCTTTTTGAGTTTCCAAAAATTCAATGACTTTATTGATTGCTAATTGAACACCATTTCTAACTTCAGTTGGATTAGCACCAGTACTTACATGTCTTAAAGAATTACTTAGGATATTATAAGCTAAGACAGTGGAAGTTGTAGTACCATCACCAGATTCTAAATTTGATCTATTTGTAACATCTTTTAATAATTGACAACCCATATTTTCGAATCTATCTTCAAAACTTAATTCTTGAGCTATACTATAACCATCTTTTGTGATTTTTGGAGCATTATATTTTTGTTCCATAAGAACATTACGACCTTTTGGACCTAAAGTAGCAGAAACAGCCTTGTAAACTTTTGAAGCACCTTGTAAGACTGCGATTCTAGCACTGTTGGAGAACTTGAGCTCCTTGTGGACTGTCTTGATCCCTCTTCTACCCACCAGGGACAGGGTTTTCTGAGCACGTAGCATCCTAATTGACAGCTTGATCTCTTTGGCGGTTAAACTGATATTTTGATATTTTGATTCTCTTTATTAAATCAAGATTTCATTTCCAGATTCTTCTGACAAAAAAAAGATGCTGGCGGAACCGAGTGGAAACTCATAAATTAACTATGGAAAAACTAATCAAAGACACAATTTGTATGAGAAGATCAGTACTTTTTAGTACAAGTGCCACACTGAACAATGTCAATGGATTGGTTGTTATTAGTTAGTGATATCCATTGATACTCATCAGACCCAGTGTCCTTTTGGAACGAGTCCAGGGTCTTTTTTCTGGTGAAGTTCAGTGGAAGAAGCTTTCTTCAAGAAGGTCTTTCGAACTCTATAGAGTCGCCGGCACAGATCAAGACACACATCAGTGATCAATTGCCTCGTCATAAGGGCTGGCTAGACAAGAATGTGTCTGTGCTAGTAGTATAACAGGGCATACAATTGTATAGAACAATAGAACTTGTATATACTTAATTAGTATATGATAGACCAGGGCTTTTAACCATTGGTTATTTCAATATAGTAAGTACAATTCATTCTTAGTTTTTATCAACAAACATCTTCTGTAGAGAATCAAAACTCACAATGGTTTCTAAACTATCATTCAAAGGTGATAAACCCAAAACCAAGAAGAAAACAGTCAAAAGAACAACGAGACCAATATCAACAAAACCAGACATTGATGTTCCATTAATTGAAAATAGTTGGACATCAGCTACAACATTTACAGATCTTAATGGACCTTTAATCATAACAACTTATGAAAGATCCAATGATGATTATGAACATTTAACACAGCAACCATTAGTATTAACACCTGATATATTAGGTGATATACGTCCATCAAAAGAAGTTCGTATAGTTGATCAAACAGAAACTATAAATTTTGAAACTGATGATATAGATCCATTAGTTTATCATGCAAATATTCATAAAACTGAACCTGGTGATGTTCAACAAGTTTTCCTTGCCACATCCGTTGCATTTGCTACATTAGGTGGTGATGTGAATCCTAATAGAACTAAACTTGCATTGAAAACACCATCTGATAAATATTTATCTTTGAATGATCAAGGTGATGTTGATTGTAAAAATGAAGCTATTGGACCTTATCAAATTTTAGAATTTGAAAAACATGTTATATCAAAAGAAGGTGTTTGGTTTAAGATATGGAATGGTAACAAAAGATTGTCATTATTGAAAAATGAGGATAAATTTCAATTGAAATTCAAATCAAATGATCAAGATGATCAAATAATATCAGATTTATTTGTTATAAGAGTTCAAACAAAAAATTCTACAACGGGGAAAAGATTATTACGTGAACATGAAGAATCTAAAACTTTAGGATCAGATTCTATAAGTTTATCAATTAGAAATGCAATAAATTCATTACAAAAATCAGGAATTGAAGTTAATCAATCTACAATTCAAAGACTTAAAAATGCAGCATTAAAAGGTAAATTAAATGAACAATTAATCTTGGAAAGATCAAAATCTAAATCAGATACAAGATGTTGAAAGATCTTCTTATGATAAATCATAATATTGTTGAGTATCTTCACCAACTTGTAAAGTACTTAAAGGATCATTTGAATCTAAAGCAGATCTTGGATATAATGCTTTAACATTGGATGATTTATTAAATAATGGTAAAATACCATCACAAATTAATGAAATCCCATTTGTTTCTTGATCACTTGGTAATATAACATCAGCAAATTCTTTAGTTGGGAAAATAAATTCATTAAATTCAGGTCTTGCAGTATTTATATAATGTTCTAATAAATCACCTAATGGATTTTTTTTTTGTAATACATCTTCAGAAATCCATCTTGATAATCTTGTATCAGCATCACAATCAATAAATAATTTCATTGTAGCTAAATTTCTTAATTCTTTATTATATAATGAATATAATCCATATATTAAAATCAATTTCTTTGAATTAGATTTTAATTCAATTTGTTCTAAATCATCTAAGACATCATCAAATCTATATTTAGCAGCTCCTTTAGAATTTTCGTCTAATTCTTTCCCAGTTTGTACATATGTATCCAAATCTAATGATTCAACTTGAATTGAAGTTGATGTATTTTCTAAAATTGTTGATTTTATTCTTTCACAAACTGTTTTCTAAGATTAAACATGTTAATATAAAAGATCATTTCTTGACCTGGTTGAGAAATACTCACTTTTCCTGCAGCATGTCCACCACCAACAAGGATAATAACTGAATCACTACCCATATTGAACCTATTTCTTCTTGATAATTATCCTTTTTGCCAAAACTTTGAAACGAGTATTAATGAAATGATCTTACAAGTATAAAAGAAAAAAATATTTTGAGTGTGTCCCCGTTAACAAAAGTATAAAATTTTGGCGTCAAAAACCAAAAAAATTAATTACTATCAATTAAAGATCTTGATCAAAGTTCATAACTCATAAGCAAGTACAAAAGTATTGAAAGATGGATTTTGATAGAGAAAGAGATGCTGAATTGGAGTTCAAGACTTCCAAATCAGTCCAAGTTGTATCTTCATTCGAAGAAATGGAATTGAAAGATGATTTATTAAAAGGTATTTATGGTTATGGTTTTGAAGCACCATCTGCAATTCAATCAAGAGCTATTATGCAAATCATAAGTGGGAGAGATACTATAGCTCAAGCTCAATCAGGTACTGGTAAGACTGCTACTTTTTCAATTGGGATGTTGGAAGTTATAGATTCTAAAAATCGTGAAACTCAAGCTTTAGTATTAAGTCCTACAAGAGAATTAGCTATACAGATACAAAATGTTATAAAAGCATTAGGAGATTATATGAATGTTCAATGTCATGCTTGTATTGGTGGTACTAATGTTGGTAGTGATATTAAAGCATTATCAAAAGGTCAACATATTGTTAGTGGTACTCCTGGTAGAGTTTTAGATATGATTAAAAGAAGAAATTTAAATACAAGAAATGTTAAAATGTTAATTCTTGATGAAGCTGATGAATTATTAAGTAAAGGTTTTAAAGAACAGATATATGATATTTATAGACAATTACCTGCTGGGACACAAGTTGTTGTTGTTAGTGCTACATTACCAAAAGATGTTTTAGAAATGACTTCAAAATTTACTACAGATCCTGTGAAAATTCTTGTTAAAAGAGATGAATTAACATTAGAAGGTATTAAACAATATTTTATTGCTGTGGAAAAAGAAGATTGGAAATTTGATACACTTTGTGATCTTTATGATTCTTTAACTATAACTCAAGCTGTTATTTTTTGTAATACCAAGAAGAAAGTTGATTGGTTATCTGATAAAATGAAAGAATCAAACTTCACAGTAGTAGCAATGCATGGTGATATGAAACAAGATGAAAGAGATCAAATCATGAATGATTTCCGTCTTGGTAATTCACGTGTTTTAATTTCCACAGATGTTTGGGCAAGAGGGATTGATGTTCAACAAGTTTCTTTAGTTATAAATTATGATTTACCAAATGATCGTGAGAATTATATTCATAGAATTGGTAGATCTGGTAGATTTGGTAGAAAAGGTGTTGCAATTAATTTTGTCACAAATGAAGATGTTCAACCATTACATGATATTGAACAATATTATAGTACTCAAATTGATGAAATGCCTGTGAATATCAATGATATGATGTGAAGTTAATAGATTATGAATATGATAATTTTTTTTTGCTTCCAAAGTATTTTATTGTAGTTGTTAAAGTATTGATTCTAATTGTTGTGATCTTAATTTATAAAGATCTGCTAATTTCCTGATATAGTTCAAATCTTTATCAGGTTTTAATGAATCGAAATTTTCTAATTCAGCTCTTGTTGTATTTAATGATATTCTCTTTGTCAAGTTTTTATCATCAATTGAAACATTCATTATTTGTAAATCTGGCGTAAGTGATTTATAACCAATAACCTCATCACCATTTGAATCCATTTCCAATACAATTGCTTCTTCATCTTCATCAAGTTGGTTTTCTAGGTCATAATGATCATCATCATCTTGGAACACATATTTGATTTCTGGATAATAATTTTGGGATGATGAGAAGACATTTCCATAAGTACTAGTACTTGAATTCCCATGATGATCAGAATTTGTTTGAGGAGTCAATAAAGAATTACGTCTTGTATTATTGAAAGTTTGTTGATTCACCTCAGACTGGTCTTGTACAATGACAAAGTAAGGTAATGCTGATTTGTTCCAATGTTCACTCATATTGTGCTTACTTGAAATGTCGTGTATGTGTTGGATAATAAAGAACTGTTTACTGTGGTTATCTATCATATACCAAAAAAATGCGCGACTAAAGTATCAAAGAATCACTACAATTGAACAATATTTGGAAAAAGAAGAGGACATACAATCAAAAGGGATCCAAGGTATGAACGAGGAATCACACTTTCAATTAAAATGTAAATTTGTATTCATGGGATCAATCTAAACAACCAATTGCCTGTTTTGCAAAGCAAATTGAAGTGGTTTGTTGATCGAAATAGGTGATATCAGTAACATAATAATAGCTTTTGAAGAATTTAAGGGCGCACAAACGGGTAAAGCCATAAAACGAAAACAGCTATCTGAGATTTCCTGCAAATGGTATAATTACATGTCAACTACTAGAACTGAAAGCTCTAACGTAACCAAATTAATATAATCAAAATATTGTTTAAACTATCGCTGAGTTTTGAGGTTGTAAATTTTTTCAAGCCAGGCCGGTGTTCTTTTTTTCGCTTCAGAGCACACACAATATTTCTACAAGTTGCCTAAACAAAATTGGACAAACTTCGATTTATATCATTACCATCTATTGTAAAAAAAGGCAAAACTATCATAACTTATGAATGGATCCATAATCATGACCATAATAAAGTCAACAACTTCCAACCTTTCAATTTAGTTGGTGGATCTTCTGGATTATTCTTTATATCTTCAAATAAAGGTTGTAATTCAACTTCATGAGATCTATAATATCTAGTTTTTTTATAAAATTTCCAAAAAGTATATAGACCAATAGTTAATGGTATAATGAAATAAGAACCAAAAAAACTTGCCATATCAAATTTACCTTTAACAAAATTCTTAAATCCACCAGTTAATAATAATATTAATGAAGCAATACCTGAGACCCATGCTGCTTGAATACCAAATTTAAATTTATGTGGTAATTGATCTCTTGAATAACCTTGAGCTTTCATTGCCCAATCCATATGAATACAATTTGCAGATATGAAAATCCAACCAACTAATAAATTTGCAGAAGTTAAAGATTGAAACCAATTGAAAACATTAGCAGCATTTTTAGAAACATTCATATAAGCTAATGGCATGAAAATTGCAACAAATATTGTACCAACCCATGGTAATCCTCTTTTATTAGTTTTTAAGAAAATTTTTGGTGCTTGACCTTTAACAGCAAGTGCAAATAAAGTTCTTGATCCATGAATAACAGACATATTCCCAGTACTGAAAGCAGATGTTAAAACAGCGGCATTGATAATATGTGGTAATATCTTAATATTTGCATTTTTTATAGCAACAACAAATGGTGATGAAGTTGCATTACCTGTAGAATTTGCAATTGCTTTATCATTTGGTGAAACAATTAAAGTTAAACAAAAAGCAGTTAAAATCATCATAATGGAAACTCTATAGAAAACACGTTTACAAGCTGTAAACACAGTTCTTCTTGGATTTTTAACTTCTGCAGCTAATGATGGAACTGTTTGAACACCACCATATGAATAAACAACACCTGATAAAACTTTCCAAAATCCAGCAAATTTACCCAAATTACCAGTTGTAAGATATTCTTTAAAAGGGCCTGGATCTTTCCAATATCTAAATCCAATAGTTTCATGACTTGGTCCACCACCTGAAGTTATAATAATAGAAACAAGTATTAAACCAATTAATAGAGTCATCTTGATCAATGCAAAACCAAATTCAATTTCACCATAAATTCTAACATCATAAGAATTACAAGCAATAATTAAAGCAATAATTATTGAAATCCAAACAGCTTGATTAATATCAGTCCAATAAGAAACAATAACAGCAGCTGCACTAATTTCACCAGGCATTATTGCAGACCAAACACTAATCCAACCATAAGCAAAAGCCCAAGCAGGATCAATAAATAATTCAAGATGACGAACAGTAGCAGAAGTAACAGGCATTAATGAAGCGACTTCAGCCATTGCCATTTGATTTAATCCAACAATCAATGCAACAATGCTATAAGCTAATAGCGTACCTAAAGGCCCAGCGGTAGCTAAGATACCACCAGATGAAAGGAAAATACCAGTACCAAAGACACTAACAAGTGCTAACATTTGAATATGACGTTGGTTTAATGATGTTTTTAATCTATGACGATCTTCATTGAAAATGGAACCATTATCAAAATCATTAGCTTTAACATCATCTATTGAACCTTGTTCTAGATCTATTCTATCAATATTATCAACATTGACAATGTAGTCATTTGTCTTTTTATCTATATCACTTGATGAGGACATGGTTAAATAAAATTGTGATTATGATTGATACCAAGAAAGACCAAGACTTAACATGAACTATATTTGTAGGAAAATTCTTGAGATACTTATATACCCGATTTCAAAATTCCCCTGAGCATTGTAAATCATCATTGATATCTGTATACTGGAAAGTATCTTGATCTTCAAAAGTTTACCAGGAAATAATACCTATTAAGGTAGCCAACCGAATCCTTATCATCAAAGTCTTTAGCAACACGAGCTTTGACTATCATTGTTGCAGCCTGTGAAACCTTTGGCAGCATATAGTATGATTGTGGTTCTCCATGATAAGGCGTAATGATACCATAATCCATATCAAAAAAGCATGTAAGTTCCCAATACTGTAACTATATCATCACTGATAAGAACCTGATAACAAAACAACAACAAAACAAAGGTATTAAGATAAACCCATCAACCCCCATTTCTGATCATCATGTCGGCTAATCTAAAGAAAAGAGCACCATGTTTGATCTTGAAACTATAATTTAATTTAACATAAACCGGCTATATTCACTTCTTGATTGTTCTAACTTCTATGATCTGATCTTTATTTGATAGGATAATGATTCAGGGATTTGAAAAAACGCGACTAAATTGTACTCTTACTATGAAAACAATATTGAAAAATTGAATCGAGATACAATATTAAAAGGGATCCAAGGTGTTAACGAGGAATCACACTTTCAATTGAATCTCATGTGTATTGATCTTGATATAACTTAACTTAACCAATTGCTTGTATTTCATAACGTCCGTACTCAATTGGTATTAAAGCGAATTATTCAACACCTATAACACTAGCACACAAACAGAAGAATACTGTGTATATATTTAGGGATAGATCAGGAAAGGAAAACACATAATCAAAATCTCTGCCACCACAATGGGAAATGCCTCATTTAGAATACAGAACGTTTTCAAAAGTTAATGAATAGTAGAATAGTACACTTGAAGGATTCGAATATTCAAAGGATAATATTTAAAATACTTTTGTATTATGTAATAGCTGACACATGAATCACAAGTAAAAATTGTACCAACGAGTGATGACTCCGGAAGCACAACGGTACTATGGGAGTTTGACTCCGGTCATCTGGGGATGTAAAAAGATTTAAATATAAAAAAACCTTTGAATCTCCTTTTAATCGTTAATATATTTGTTTTGAATATGATCTAGGTCTTTTTGGTTCAATCAATTGATTTGGTCTATTCATATACATCCACAACAAAATGTTCAGAAGAGCTTATTCCACAGCTACAGCTAATGGATTAAAGAAAACTCCATTATATGATTTACATATTAAATATGGTGCAGATATGGTTGATTTTGCAGGTTATTCAATGCCTGTTTTATATAAAGGTCAAAGTCATATAGATTCACATAAATGGGTTAGATCTAAAGCTGGTATCTTTGATGTCAGTCATATGTTACAACAAAATTTAAAAGGTGATGATGTTATACCATTTTTAGATAAAATTACACCATCTGATTTTAAAGCTTCAAAACCTTGGGCCAATCAATTAACTGTATTGTTAAACCAAGATGGTGGTATTATTGATGATACTATTGTGACAAAACATGATGATGATAAGAATTTTTATATTGTTACTAATGCTGGTACAAGAGAAAAAGATTTAGAATTTTTCAAAAATGAATCACAACCATTTGATGTTAAATTTGAACAAATTGATAATGCATTGATTGCATTACAAGGTCCATTAGCTTCTAAAGTTTTACAAAACTTCACAAATGAAGATTTATCCAAGATTTACTTTGGTAATTCTAAAATAATTAAAATCCCAGGTTTCAATAATTTAGATATTCATTTAGCAAGAGGTGGTTATACAGGTGAAGATGGTTTTGAATTATCAATTCCTAAAGATGTTTCAATAGAATTCACCGAAGCATTATTAGAAAATAAAGATGAAGTTAGACCAATAGGATTAGCTGCCAGAGATTCATTAAGATTAGAAGCTGGTATGTGTTTATATGGTCATGATTTAAATGATACAATAACACCAGTTGAAGGTGCTCTTTCATGGGTGATTGCTAAAAACAGAAGAGATCCAAATGTTAATAAATTCAATGGTTCTTCCAAAATCTTGGGTCAATTAGCTGATCGTTCATTAGTTAAACAACAAAGAGTTGGATTCACTTCAAAAGGTCCAGCACCAAGAGAAGGTACTGAAATTTATAGTAAAGAAGATCCAGAAAAGAAAATTGGTGTTGTAACATCTGGTTCATTAAGTCCTTCATCTTCTGAACGTATTAATATTGGTCAAGCTTATGTGGAAAGAGGTTATCATAAATCTGGTACTCCAGTATTAGTTAAGATTAGAAATAAATTAAGAGATGCGACAATTGCTAAACAACCATTTATTCCATCAAACTACTACAGAGGATAAACATCACATACAAATCTAATGAAATGAACTTGCCCACTCATCAATTGTAGTATACTAAATCCAAACTAGCTTCTAAAAGTAGTCATTTCCTTCATAGTTTACAATATTTCCTTATAACCCGAGTGCCCATACCAACATAATTCGCGGAAGTCACTGGTTCAAACACGCTCAGAAATTAATTGGTTGAAATCGTTTGAAAATTGACGAAAAATCCAAAAAACCCCCTTGAGAATTTGACCAAAAAAAAAGAAGTGAAAGAACTTGTTATTATTGATAGTTTTAAAATATAAGTGTAACCAACAGTACAATTATCCAAGATGTTCACCAGATTAGGTACCAATGCTGTTCGTACAGCTTCTCGTCAAACAAGGTATGTGGAATCAAAACCTTCCCCTGGTACTGTTTTGCATTTGTTGGGATTAGTGTGGGAATCTTGTTTTCGTCCAAGGAGATTAAAAGATTGGGTGTAACTGAATGAATTGATCCATTGAACAACAACAATTGAAAAAAATGATGAATAAAGATACTAGATTGGATCAATTGAAGTGTAGAATAAGATAGAAATCATAAAAATCAAATATTTATCCCCAACAATTGCCAGTTTTAGGCTTCTTTTTTTAGGTGTGAGATCTTTAAAGTACTAACAAAATTTTATAGAAACTATGCCACTTTACGTGATATTGAAACTCGTTTAAAATCAATTAAAAACATTGAAAAAATTACAAACACCATGAAAATTGTTGCTTCAACAAGATTATCAAAAGCTGAACGTGCTAAAAACACCGCAAGAGTTTATGATGCTGCTGATCGTGAAGTTTATAAACATGCTGAAACTGCAGCTGTTGAATCTGAACAACCAAAAAATTTATTAATTGTTGTTTCATCTGATAAAGGTTTATGTGGTTCTATTCATTCTTCAATCGCTAAAGCTACTAGAAAAAGAATTGCTGAATTAAACAACAATGTTGATGTTGTTGCTATTGGTGATAAAGTTAGAACTCAATTAAACAGAACTAATGCTGATAACTTAGTTTTAGCTTTCAACGGTGTTGGTAAAGAAACTCCAACTTTCACTGATGCTGCTTTAATTTCTGATGAAATTTATCAATTAAGTGATAAATATTCAAATGTTGAAATTTTCTACAATAAATTTGTTTCAGGTGTTTCATTCGAACCAACTATCAAACCATTATTCGATGCTGAAGCCATTGAACAATCACCAGCTTTATCTCAATATGAAACTGATCAAGATGCTAAAGTTCCAGAAACTTTATCAGAATTCTCATTAGCCAATGCTATTTACACTTCATTAGCTGATGGTTATGCTTCAGAAGTTTCAGCAAGAAGAAATGCGATGGATAACGCTTCAAAGAATGCTGGTGATATGATTACCAGATACTCTATCTTATATAACAGAACCAGACAAGCTGTCATTACCAATGAATTGGTTGATATTATTACTGGTGCTTCTTCATTAGATTAGAGGAATATGTCATTTATGATTATAAAAACAATTTAAAATATTCAATTATAAAAAACATCAATTTAGTAGTTATTCTCAGAGAGAAACTATAAATAAAAAACATACAATTATATACATTTTGTTTAAACGAAGAATTAAAACATCCATATAAAATTATAATAAAATGAATTTCATGATATATAAATTTGTTGTAGTTGTTGACACATTTACTATTTTTTGTTGAAGGTGATTATTGCGCAAGGATTTTCGAAAAAAAGCAGGTTCACCTATAAAGAACAAAACAAAACAACGCCAAAGGTCCTTCCTCGTCAACGCTCCATGAAGATATAATCAATTCGACTCGAAATCATGTCATCAAAAGATCAGATCAGAATACCGAAGTCAGCGTATCCCAAGGCATATCCAGAGTTTGATTCCTCGTTTATGGATGATTCGATAGAAGGTGATATCTCATTAAGTAGAGATTTCAACGATGCTGCTAATTCATCAACAACTTTGAATGGGAATATCAACGATTTGAACTCATTAAACTCCAATGATTCATTTGATGATATCTTGGAATCACCAATTTCTTCAAAACAACAATCTACAATTTTCAAAGAACCACAATCCCCCAAACCAAGAGGTTATGAATTCAAATTAAAGAGTTCAAATTGCACAGTTTATTTAACTTATCCAGTAACAAACATCGATATTGATAACTATGGGAAAGTGGATTATGAATTACATACAAAAGAGAACGCAATGGTTGTTATTATCCCAAATTCTAAAGGGTTAAGTGTTAATAATAAGAAATTGGCCGATGCTTACGCTATAAGAACAGGTTGTGTTACCGCTGTGTTGGATGTTTATTTTGGTGACTTCTTAGATCAACCTACTGTTCAACCAAATGATGAGCTAAAAGAGGTTTCTTTTATTGATCGATTCAAAAATTTGACTTTTGAAATGGCGGCTAATGTTAAGATTCAATATTGGATTCAATCACATTCATTTTTTGGCTCGTTTAATGAATCGGATGGTTCTTTCCAATCTACTTCTAATTGGATCACTGTGGAAAGTGCTATTGATGAATTGTTGACAAATCATAAAGTGACAAATGCTGTGTTGATTGGGTTTTCATTTGGATGTAATACTGTTCTTAGATCAGCTGTTGATAATAAAGATGATAGAATTAAAAGTATAATCGCTGTTCATCCATTATTAATCCCCAAGAATGTTTTTGAGCATATCAACAAATCAACGTTTTTGATTACAGGTCCACCTGATAAGTTTTATTCAAATGAAGAACTACAAAAATATAGACAAGATTTGAAAGGTCGTAATGATCCAGATTATAAATATTTACAATTCACTTCCAAAAAGGATATACCTCATGGCTTTGCAATTGCTGGTGATTATCCACCAATGAAAGTTTCGAATTTTCCTACACAAACTGCTCAACATATAACGTCCTGGATTTTGCAACACATTTAAAACTAAGATAATAAGAAAAGAAAATTAGATATAAAAAAAGATAAAAGTCAATAAAAGATAAAATAGATTATTGGTATTTGTGATGTGATTGGTTTAATCAATTGTCTTTATATAAAATGAAGAAAGAAATAAGCTGATGAACAGCTCAAACTTTTGGATCAACTTCTTCAATTTGTCTTTTCAAATCTCTTAAATGCAAAGCAACAATACCAATTGTTATGATTAAGAAAAATGAAAAAGGTGTCCAAGTCATTGCAGCAGCTTTACGACCAACATGTGCCATAACAATATCCATACTTGCACTCTGAACAAGATTCTTACCAGCATGTTGAGCGACATGAGCCCACATTGAACCAAGACCCCAAAGTAATGTTATAGCTGGTGCTAATACCAGATTAATTTTATTAACAATTGTTTTCATTGGTAATCCTGGAACTGTGATATATAATAATGTTAAAAATAAAATCAAAGTCAAAATAATTGTGGCAATTAAAACATATGGATGATTAATTTCATTTGAAAATTCTGATCCTAATCTAACTAAATCAATATCAGTTGAACTTGAATTTGAAGAACTTGTATATAATGGAATTGAAGTTTGACCAAATTGTGATACATTAGATTTTGAAGTACATGTTATATCATCTTTCAAATGAACACAAATACCCATATAACCAGATGTTACTTTTAAACTTTCATAATCAGTTAAATTCTTCTTAGCATAATTTGATTTAATTAATGGATATAATGATGAAGATTTATTAAATTGATATTTAATAAGATAAATTGATGAATAAGTTGAACTTTGTGTCGTTGAACCTAATAAAAGAAATGATAAGAGGAATACTGATATGAATAATAATATCAGCATCATTATACGTGGCATTCTTTTCAATGCAAACCAGACAGTTGTTAAGATCATTTTCGTTGATTGGTAATATGTATAGCTCTTTGTGATGTTTATTGAAAATTTACAAAACTAGAAAGAATAATCTTGAATCAAGGAAAACATTTGCATTTATATAGTATATAGATAGATCATTTTTTCAAAAAACCCATATAAGATACACTGCATATTATTCTAATAAATGTTTTAAATGAGTTTTCAAAGGTGTATGAATACTATAAAGTGTAGTTATATAAATGTTTCAGATATGAAAGACGTTTGGCTAGAACGGTAAGGGGCGCATACAATAACGGTTTCATGAAAGGATCAATCTAAATTTTAATCTTGGTCAAGTATAGTTACTATGAGATAAATTATCTTTGAAGGGCTAGAATTGAAAAAGATTTATTATTAAACACGGATTTCGTAGGATAAATTTGATGTTTTCTTGTTCTAACTAGTTGGGCGGAAAGGTGTATAGTATCATACATGAGATTTGATTAAGAAAACCAATAGAATCTCAAGGAGAGAACTACGATTAAACATCACACCATTTACAGGTATTTGATATATTAGCTACATGATTTGGTATATGTAACTCTTTATGGATACTATATAAATTGCAAGCACTCTGTGTGGTATTTAAACTGCCCTTCGCTTTCAAATAATATTTCATCTTTTTGTAACTGTAATCGATATACTTGATCGAATTAAAAATACATATTTGGGAGCTCTAGCTATAAGATATATGTCAAATACACAAGTGTAATATACTGCTCATAATTTTTAGCTTTATGATTGTATGATACGGCCCTCATAACTAACATAGTAAGATGCTAATATTGTATAGAGTAAGCTTTAAAACCACTATGAGCAATCTTGTCATAGCCAAATGACATCATATTTAACGACAATGACACGATATCAACTACAGTAGCCTCTTGTTGCTACACTTTAATGACCTTTGACACAAAAAAGATCATCCATATTAGGGTTTTCAATGAAGCCTTTATTATCCTCTCGGGATCAACACCCAAAAGCGTATAAGTCCGAAGCACATCAATTTCAATCACAGGTATAAATTCTCAATATTTTGAAGAAACAATAGGTATCAAATATGATCGTCAGAATGACCAACAATGATATATAAAATGACTGATATATTCATTTTTTTCAAGTCTAATAACCATATTCTTGGATACTAGACCAAAAGTATTGACTAATAATGCTGTTTTTCAAATCATTACTTTTGTTAATCACTTTATTAACAACAATCTCAAGTTATGTTCTTGATCGTGAGAACAATGACAATACACTGCAGAAAAGCAATTCATTGTTTAACTCATCTATTTCCATAGCCAATAATTATTCCTCTCTCACATTAGGAGCTCAAGAAAATGTCCATAATACGATAAAGAATGATACAAATATCGTTATTGTCAGTAATGACAATTCAACAAGTTTAGATGAGAAACCTCAACCTCACAACAAATTCTGGGGGTGGCTTGGTAGTCTTGCTAGCTGGGGAGGGAGGGCAGGAAGGGCAGGAAGGTCAGGAAGGTCAGGAAGGTCAGGGTCAGGGTTCTCAGGTAGTTCTGGGTCCTCAGGTAGTTCAGGTAGCTCAGGAAGGTCAGGATTTTCAGGTTCAAGTGGATCCAGTGGTTCGAGTGGTTCTAGGGGTTCAAGTGGATCAAGTGGTTCGAGTGGCTCTAGAGGATCAAGAGGATCAAGTGGATCAAGTGGGTCAGGTGGTTCAAGAGGATCATCTGGGTCTTCTGGTTCAGGTAGTGGAAGTCGTGGTTCTGGTTCATCAGGTAGTGGTTCTGGTGGCTCAGGTATTGGTCAAGCTATAGCTGGTGGAGCTGCAGCAGGGGCCGCTGGTGGAATAGTTTATCATTTTTTGAATGGTAATGATCATGATACTATTAGAACTGCTTATTATACATCGCAAGTTTCAGGAGTTAATCAAAGAATTACCACTGTTCTTAACACAACAGCTAACTCAACAGCTACTAGTTCAGCAAATGGTGCTGCTAGAATGGTTCATGATTTTAAAAGTTTCCCTAACTATGATGGTATTGCTTCATTTACTAGTCCTGTTTATTTAGGATTTGCTTGTTTAATATTTGTTGTTTTCTTTCTGTTATAATTTGTCTTTAGTAATACGGACTTGAATTTACAAGCTATAACAGACGTGTTCTATATATCATGTTACAATTTATTTTTTGATACTTTTATTTGATAATGTATATAAATTTATAATACAATTTACTTTTGTTTGAGATTTCAACATGTAGTACTTTCAGCTCTACGTATATCAGCTTAAAATATAAATCAAACGTAACATCTCCCTTAAAAAAATCTATAAATTAATTACCTAAATAATAATAAATATGTTTTTATATATAACTTAAAATGCAAATACGGTTGTAATTTTAAACCGAAATCAGCAATCATAAATAATTAAATATGATAATATAAATATATCAATGTCTTTCATATAATTCTAATCAAAATAAATCTCAATCAACAGAATCATACAACTTTTGTAAATCATAATTTTCTCTCCAATAAGTCCCCTTTCTCTTCAAGACAACTAAAACAACAGCCCAAAGAACAATCAACGCTGCAAGCATCGAGTACATTGGACCAGGTTTCATACCTTTAATCATTGGTTCAGTAATGAAAACAGCAACAGTTGCAAATATTTGTCTAACAAAATTATTTAATGCAACACCTGTAGCACCACGACCTGGTAGCGAATCAACTAAATAAGTAACAACAGGGCCAATAGTCATCATACTTGAATAACCAAATATAGCAGTTCCAATTAAAGGTGTTACCCAATGAGTATGGAAATGGAAACACCAACCAATGATTAAAAGAGCAATTGGGAATGTAACAACTGCTGAAAAAATATTCCATGAGATTCTTGATTCTGGAGAATAATATCCATTACGTTCTTTATCTTTTCTTAATAACCAGTCTGTCCATTTCCCACCATATATGGATGCAAATATATAACTAACAGAATTTGGAATATATGCAAACCCAATAAATAATGATTTCCATTTATACGGTTCTCTTGCGAATTCATATTCAATAGTCATATTAACAAAATATAAAATCCCAAATGATATTGCTGAGAATGATATAGCTAATGCAACAGGTGGATATTTTAAAAAGACTAAAGATTTTAATGGTTTTAATGTTAGATCAAATAGTTCTTTTTTGAAACGTTCAGTTTTTGTTGGTTTATGATCTAATTCTTTTTGAATTTCTGTTTTGATTTTTTCTAAATCATTTGATTTGATTTGTGCAATTCTTTCATCTCTTTGTGAAGTTGTAATTCTAAATAATTCTGGAGCCATAGTTTCTTGGGGTTGACCTTCAGAATTGATATCAAAAGTTGATTGATTTCTATTTGAAACTCTTGAAGCAATTCTTTCAACTTCTAAATTATCATCAGTTGATGATGGTGATGGATTTTGTTTTTCATTACTATCTTCGGATGCAGAACTTTGAGATTCTTCATCACCATTTGATTTTCTATTTTGTCTTTCAGCTAAAACTTTTTTAACAATTTCTTTATTATCCTGGGTACGTAAAGTTTCTGGTAATACAATAATAACCATTATATCCAAGAAAACAGCCATTATAACTAAAAACCATTGAGTAGATCTCCAATTCCATCTAGTCAATAATAATGACCCAATAATAGGACTTAATAATGGAGCCATCAAAGGACCCAAGTAATATAAACCTAAAGCTCTACCTCTTTGCTCTGGAGCATAAATATCTGATATTGTACCAGCACCAACACTTTGAACACTAGCAGAGCATCCACCTGCCAGGACTCTCATTCCAATTAAAGTATTAATATTTGGTGATAGGGCACATCCAATACCAAATGCAACATAAAGAGTAAATGAAGAAATATAAACAGATCTTCTACCAAATCTTTCACTAAATGAAGACCACCATAATGGGAAAACACCAAGTGATAATAAATAAATACCAACAGATATATTAACCATAATTGTTGTAGTTTGTAAATGTTCTTTAATATCTTCAATAGCTGGTAAAATGATTGAAGTACCCATAGGACCAATCATTGCTGAAAATGCAACCATAAATACTATAATATATTTTAATCTTTCAGGATATTCTCTTGCATCTTTAAATTCTGGAATTAATGAGAATTGTGCTAATAATCCACGACGTTCTTTTCTTGGTCTTTGTAATGATCTATCAGCCAATACTGAACCATTAGTTGTAGTTTTCTTATTCATAGTGGATGTTAATTGAACAGGATCTTGTTGTTGTCCCTCCTCATCATCTTGATTATTTGATTGTGAGGTATTTAATGATAATTCAGAAAATGAATCATGGAAAGATGAGTTTCGACTATGTTGAGCATGAGGAATATAAGGTTGATCTTCTTGAGCAGCAGGGCTTTGTGAATTCTCTTGAGTATATGCTTGAGGTGGTTGTGTATTGTATTCTAAATCAGTAGTTGAACTTGTGATTGATTCATTTGAATGTGTGATATAAGGTTCTTGAGGCATAATGTTGAAAAGTTTTCATGTATATATGAATATGAGGTATGATAATAGTAAATAAATGAACACTTATGACAGTGTAAACATTCTAATTATCCAATATATTAATCAAATCAACCTATAGTCATCTATATTTCCAAAAGGGAGAAATTAAGCTGTTTAAAAACCTTTTCAAATATAATGATAAAGTTCGTTTTTAGGTATATCGCCGGGTCTAGGAAGTATGCTTCCGAGAGACTCAGTATCCCTCACGAGACCCATTCACTCGACAGAGACTACATAGTTAACCAAAGACTTTACCCATATGAGACCTCTTTTCCTTCGGAAGTGTGTTGATAGTCTCAGAAACCACCGGAAAAACAACAATCACTATGAATCATTTTGCCAGTGGACCGTTTCCAGACTCGATTTTAACACATTTAACTTTATAGATTAGCAAAAATCTATTGAATTTCGACAGGATAAAAGGTTTAAAACGTGGTAATAAGCTTAGTGTTTCATAGCCATCTTGTTGTAGTGTAAAGTATGGTTTCTAAAGTGACATTTTCCTGAAATTTGAATAGGTTTTGGTAGAATTGTACTATAGAATATTAAAAGAATCGCGCAAAGGAGTCAATTAAGCTTCAAGCAAACATATGGTTGAGTATAAAACAAGATGCTAAGATTTAATCTGACGCATCGAAGCAGGTTGAATAAACTTTAAAACAGTGTGCTTTCACTTCTGGAACCCTTTGAACTTTAATATCATAGCAATATTCTCAACTCTTCTTTTCTTAACTATGTGTTAATTTGTACAGAGTCTCAACGGTCGACTGTTTTTCATATAGTGGAGTCAGAAAAAAATCGAGAAAAAACATGTCAAGTTGAAAAATTATTATTATACGGATAATCTTTAAACTTTCTATAGTATTTAGGTTATTCTACTTGATCCCTGAATTTAATTATCTAAAGGAAAGACTAATTTCACAATCAAGATGCCTAACCAAGAACCAACAATTACAACTTCAACTTCAAATGAAATCGATATCGATTCTCATGATAATTCATTACCAGTTGTTAAAATCTTAGGTACTGGTGGTACTATTGCTTCAAAAGGTACTACAAATACTCAAACTGCTGGTTATAAAGTTGATTTAAATATTGAAGATCTTGTTAAATCAGTTCCAGATTTAGCAAATATTGCACATTTAAAATATCAACAAATTGTTAATTTAGATTCAAAAGAAATAAATTCAACTCATTTATTATTATTACATCGTGAAATTAAAAAATCTTATTTAGAAGAAGGTATCAAGAGTTTTGTTATTACTCATGGTACTGATTCTTTAGAAGAAACTGCATTTTTCTTAGAATTAACTGTTAGTTATCCAGATATTGTTATTGTTATTACAGGATCTATGCGTCCACATTCATCAATTTCATCTGATGGTTCATTTAATTTGTATCAAGCAGTTGCTGTTTCAGCAAATGAAAAATCAAAAGGTAGAGGTGTCTTAGTTGTATTAAATGATTCAATTGGTAGTGGGTTTTATATTACCAAATCAAATGCAAATTCTTTAGATACTTTTAAATCAATTGGTCAAGGTTATTTAGGTAGTTTTGTTGATAATGAAGTTCATTATTATTATCCACCATCAAAACCTTTCCCAAAATCTCTAAGTTTTGAAATTGATTCAGAACGTTTAACACGTCTTTTACAATTTAGTTCAAATCCAGATTCTGCTAAAAGAAGACATGAATTCCCAGAAGTTACCATCTTGTATAATTATCAAGGTTTCAATCCACAATTAATTGAATTAGCAGCTCAACAAATGGATTCAAAAGCTCTAGTGTTTGCATGTTCCGGGGCAGGTTCATTAACTGATGAAACTAATGAAATTTTAAAATGGGTTTGGCATAAATATAACATCCCAGTTGTCTATTCTAAAAGATCAATGGATGGTACTGTTCCAAGAGCTTCATTACCAAAAAATGATAATGGTGAAGTTTATAAAGGTGCTATTGCAGGTGGTTATCTAAATCCACAAAAATGTCGTATCTTGTTACAATTAGCTTTGAATCAAGGTTATAATGTTAGTCAAATTAAGAGTATTTTCGAAAGTGGTGGTATCTATGGTGGTTAGATTCCATTTCTTTAATAAATATTTTCCCTAGAAGGTGTTTTAATTCAATAGTTTTGTTAGAAGTTTAAGTTCTTTTGTAGTTCTTTGTAGTAGTTCTAACTTCTTTGTAGTTCTTTATGTGTCATTTTGAGTGCCCTTTCAAAGCGTATAAAAAATCAACAAAAAACCGTTCCGTGGCGAACAAATATCAACAACTCAACAGATTTGAGATTTGAGATCTGAACTGGGTTGAATTGAATTCGTTTATAAGAATTGGGAGCTGCCGGTTTTCTGGTTGAGATTGATTTAGTGCTTCAAAGTGTTTGGATAGGATTCAAAGTTTTTTGTTAAGATGAGTGTCACGATATTGGGTATCGCAAAGTTTATATTTAACGTGATTTTGTTCATTTCTGGTTGTTTAGCCATCGTGACTTCACAATTCATTGGGAAATTGGTGACATTTGGTAATAAAGAAGTTTTGCAAGCATGGCTGTCACATACAAAGGAACATTTTATCGTGTTATTAACCACAGTGGTAAATATTGCTTCAAAATCTCCAATAAATATAAGAATTGTAACAGATTCCAAAACTATCCCATCTTCAAGATTTAAAATAAATCCATCAAATGGTAGATTAGAAACTTCACAACCTTCAAACACAGTTTTGATTGCAAATCATCAAATTTATACAGATTGGGTCTTCCTTTGGTGGTTAACTTATACAGCTAAATTAAGTGGATTTGTTTATATTGTATTAAAAGCTTCATTGAAAAAATTACCAGTTTTAGGATATGGTATGAAAAATTATGGTTTCATCTTCCTTTCAAGAAAATGGGAAACTGATCAAAAAACAATGGGGAATCAATTAGCTTCAATTGATGCAAATGCAAGAGGTAAAGGTTCAGTATCTGGTAATGAACCTCACAAAAATTCAGAAACTGGTAAAGAAACTTGGCCAGTTGGTGAAGAACAACATCTTTCATGGCCTTATTCATTAATTATTTTCCCAGAAGGTACAAATATGAGTGCAAATACAAGAGGTAAAACTCAAATTTATGCTGAAAAAGTTGGAAGAAAACCTTTCAACCATTTATTATTACCAAGAACTACAGGATTAAGATATTCATTATTAAAACTTCGTGGTACTGTTGATGAAGTTTATGATGTTACATTAGCATATTCTGGTCTTAAAGCATCTGATTATGGTCAAGATATTTATAAAATTGAAAAAGTTTTCCTACAAGGTAAAAATCCTGAACGTGTTGATTTTTTCATAAGAAGTTTTAAAATTAATGAAATACCCATTGGTAAAGAAGATGAAACTCCTGAAGAATATGCAAAATCTCAAAAAAATTTCGAAGAATGGTTATTTAATGTATGGGCTGAAAAGGATGAATTAATGAATAATTATTATGAATATGGTTCATTTTTATCAGAAAATGATGATCCAAAAAATTTTGGTATATTGGATACAACTTTAAAAGTTTCAAAATTTGATTTTTTAAAAATTTTCACTGTCCCACTATTATTAATCTTATTAGGAAGAATTTCATATCAATTATACTATTTATTTCAATAATTTAATTATTATACCATATATTATTATATCTCATGACCAAAGCTAGAATACAGGAAAAAGCTATACATATCTATTTATGTTATGAACAATAAAACAAAAAAAAAATACTGCAAAAGTTAAGCTAACAAGCTATATATAAATATATTTATAAATGAATGACGTACACACCACCTTTCTTTAAAATCATATTCTCCTTCAATTTAATTCCGTATCTAAAGTTTAATCTTCCCATTTGTAATATCATCCCAATCATTTTGTGTTAATTCTTCATATTTACCTTTATTTAACCAATAAATAACTTTATCTCCATTTTCACCTTTTGGTAATTTTTGATCTCTATATTGCTTTTTAGGAATTTTATGATTATCAGATTCTCTAATTTTATCAACAAACTCAATGAAAATTGGAATTGCATATTTTGGTAATTCTTGTTTTAATGAATTATAAATTTCTTTCAATATTTCATCTTTGCTTTTGATAGTATTTGGTTTTAATTCAATTACTGCTGAACCTGCACGACCTTCATGATTTGGAATACGTACACCAACAACAACAACTTGACTAATCTCATTAATTTTATCGAAAAACTGATTCTCCACTTCAGTTGCACTTACATTTTCTGATTTCCATCTGAAAGTATCACCTAATCTATCAACAAAGAAATAAAGTCCATTTGAATCACTTTTCAATAAATCACCAGATCTAAACCATGCATCACCTTTCTTGAAAACATTTCTAATAATTTTAGATTCAGTTTCCTTTTTATTACCTAAATAACCTTGAAAAACAGTTTCTGGATTCTTTGCCCAAAATAATTTCATTATTAATTCACCAGATTCTCCAGCTTTAGTTCTTTCACAAAATCCTTTTGAATTTCTATATTCAATACTTGAATCTTCAGGATCCATCTTGATTAAAGTTTGTTGATATGACAAGATATAATTAATCAATTTCCCATAATTTCTACAAGCACCAATACCATAATCACCCTTTTGGAAAGAAGTTAATGCAATTGGTGATTCTGTAGCAGCATAAAATTCTCCAATAGCATCAATACCAAATCTATCTTTAAATTCTTTCCAAATATCCCTTCTTAATCCATTCCCATATGCAACTTGTAAATTATGATTTTTTTCATCTGGATGTATAGGTGAATTTAATAAATATCTACAAACTTCACCAACATATTGTAAATGAGTAGCTTTTGTTAATTTAACTTGGGTCCAAAGTTTACTTGCTGAAAATTTTGGTGATAATGCCACTGCAGCAGCTTGATTAAATGTAGTACATACCCCAAGTACAGCGGCTGTTGAATGATATAAAGGCATTGAGGTGAAAACTATTGATTCTGGTTTTATTCTAACAATATGACCATAAAGTGAAGAACCTAACCCAGCTTTACGCCATGACATGATTGCAGGTTTTGGTAATCCAGTTGTACCTGAGGTATAGATTAAAGCAGCTGTACCCCAATCATGATCTTGAGATCTTCTTGTAGTTGGTCTAAATTTTAAACTATTTGGATCTAAAATTTCTTGTAATAATTCATCTTCATTAAGGAAATGTAATTGAACATTTGGTAATTCTTTTGTAATATCATCTTGTGTTTCTTTTATAGGTCCTGCTGCATCTGGTTCAATGAAAACTTGTGATATATTTGCAACTTTTATAGAATGAACCAATGGATTACCTATTGTATTAAAATTTATAAAAGCTGGTGTGGCACCTAAATTCCAAAGAGCATACCATAAGAAGATGAAAATTGGTTTATTTGTAGCATCAATACCAATAGTATCATTTTCTTTAACACCATATCTATGTGCCAAAATTTCTGATAATCTAAGGATGATATCATATAATTCTTGAAATGTATACTTCTCAAGTATATAAGCATCATCACCTGTATGACCTGGATTAACTCTTGGATAAACCAAAGCTAACTTGTTTGGATAGTTAAAGACCGCTTTCTCAAATATGTACCAATATGATACTCTTCCTCTGGCAACGTTGGATGCATGTACAACAGCTTGTTTGATAACATATGGTATGATGTACATATCATCAGCTATATGTGTGTTTTCATCAATAGCTGAGAATCCCTGGTATCCCAATTCCACAGATTTCGATACAAGGCCTTTTGCAAATTCCATCTTGATAGTTCTATAGTCTTTTAACGAGTGTGTATCTGATAGTGTTTGCGATGTTTGGATTGAATTGTGTCGTTTATGAACAAAGACGTTTCCGCCTTCTTGTTAGCTACTTTAGCATTTATCGCCAGTTTCTTACATAAGCAATATGATAGAAATTGATCAAATCTACACCAGAAAGCAAAATTATACTAGCCTAGAAATTAGCAGAATATCAAATATCTATATATTTCATTTAGTGGAGCCAGAAGCAAATCTCTTCACAGTCTCACTATTAGCCAGCACTGGGTTCAATAAAATACAACTGAGGAAATATTCAAGACCTCTTCTTCTCTTCACCAAAAAATCGTTATTCAAATTACCAAATGCCTTTTTGGGTGGAAGTTTGGGTATTTCAGTATTATTTTTAGGGAACTCAATCTTCAATATGTTTCTAAGTGAATCAAATTCGCTATACCTTTTCAATAAATGTATTTGTCCTTTACTTGTAGTTTCTATCGTTATTGACCATACTGCGAATTTCTGTCCAGCACCTTGACCTGAAACGATGGTACAATCTCCTATTCTTACATCTTTTGCCCAAGTCTTTATACTGTTCCTATTCACTGTGATATTACTGTGATTGTGACTATCATTGTTGTTCTGTGAGTTCGAGACACTGTGATTCTCAGTTGTTTCTTGAGTATTGTTGTTCACCTCCTCATCATCACTTTCGTTATCCACCATCTGAATGGGCACCGGTGGGAGGTACCGTATCTTTTGTTTCTTTCTTCCTTCTTCCTGACTCATTTCATGTAATTAGATTCCAGATAAACCAACTTGTTTATTGTTCTGATCTGTTCAACTGCTTTTTATGTCAAATAATTGTTGTTAAATTTCTGGCTGCTTTGAATCTCGGAAATTTGTATTTTGTTGTGCGGTGCTGACCATTTGTTTTTCCGATAGCTTTCAAAAAGTAGTATAAGCAAAAATCTGGAGAATTTTATAACAAAAAGTTGTAGATAGTTAGACTAGGCTCAAGTATTCTATGATCCATAGCACTAAAGATAATCATGGATCCACTAAAAGGCAAAATAACACCATTTCAACGGCTTTGGCATCAATGGAAATCCCTTAGAAATGTACCCTTCAGAAAAAAATGGTTTGTGGGTTATGATCTTGATGCAAATACATATTGGGAATTTTCAAATGCAAATAATCCAGTAGGAAGATTAAGAAGGATAGTTGAATATCATGAAAAGGGGAAAAACTTCACAGACTATAAAATCCCACCAAGATGGATTCAATGGTTAAGACATACAAGATATGATTACCCAAGTTTACAAACTTTAATTGCAGAAGAACAAAGACAAGAAGCAATGAAAATATTAGCTTCTAGGGCTGATGAAAGATGGAAACAAGAATCCGTATTGGAAGAAAATAAAAGAATATTGAATGAAAGAGTTAGAAGTGCCAATCAAGCTATTGGAAGATCTCCAGATGAACAGTTTGAACAGAATACTAATGAAAGACAACAAAATCTACTACGTGTTGAAGAAGAATCACCAATCGAGTCTGCAAATATTCAACCAAGAAGGTAACTGAAACATTATATATATATACATTATTTATTGAAATTATTTATTATTTATTAAAATTTATCCTCAATTGGAGAGTATATACCAAAGCTGGTATACATGAAAATGCAATATACAGAAAATTGTTCTTTGATTGGGAGCTTCTTGAATAGCTATTGATGGATGAATATATAAGCATTTATTACTTAGTTGTATTTGGATTCACGTTTTCCTTGTTTTGAAATAAATCACACATTTTACCTATGATTTGTGAATTATATTTAATAAGTAATTGTTCCTCAGTATCGAAAATTTCATTAATTTCTCTTTTAACTAATTCCACATCTTCTAATGAATATTCTTCAATATTTTCTTTAAACCTTTTCAAATTACTTATAACTTCTTCAACTTTAATCTTACCTTGTTGTTCAGAAAGTCTTGTCTTGGAATTAACCATTATTGAAGATCTATGATTTTGTTTAACTGTGGTCGGTGTTGATGGTGAACTTATAAGTCTTGGTGATACTGGTCTTGGTGAACTTTTAGGTGTTGATGGTGATAAATTAGTTTTTGTTGAGCTTGACAACTTGGATGGTGTCATACGTGTTGTTGATTGTAATCTTGAATTTATTGGTGATCTAGGGATTGAAGGTGAAATTGGTTGTCTTTTAGATAACGGTGTAATACTTGTTGGTTTCTTAATCTTTCTTGTAACTTTTGGTGGGGTAGCTAATTCATTATATTTTTGAATTGTACCTTTAGGATTGGAGTCTTGTGAGTTTTGTTGTTGTTGTTGTTTTGAATGTAATGACCATGCAAATAAACAGCCACTATTACTCAACGATATTAAATGAGTTGGTGAAACTAAAACAAGTTCACTTATACTTTCAGAATGACCATAATTTACTGAAACTTGCTTATTATTCAAGAAATTAAAAGCTCTAATACTTTTATCTGAGCAGGAACATATTAATAAATTATCTTGTGTAATTTGTAAATTATCAATCAATAATGTTTCATTATCATGATCATATAATTTAAATGATTTTGTTGATTCATAAGTTTCACCATTATAAACAGTAATGTTTTTGTCATTAGTGGCTATTATTAAATCACCCTTGTGTAAAGTCATGGCTAATGGTGAGCTTTTAACTGAAATAGTCTTTTCTTTAGTAATAACTAAACCTTGCTCTGGGTCAATATTAAAATTATGAATTGAGATTGATCTATCTGCAGAGCTAACAAAGATCTTGTTGTCGTTATATTTCAAATTTAATAAATTACCTCTATGATCATCTAAGGTTTGGAAAACCGACCATTCATAGGTAATTTCATCATTTTCTGGAACTTCATCTTTGGAACCATCTTCATTTTCTATACGTTTAGCTAAAACTTGTATCATTCGATCTCTTCCGATACTAACAATGATTTCAAATTTATCAATTGTGAAATAAGTTAGCCCATTAATTGTAAATTCATGTGATGGTGTACTGAAGACTAATTTACTATCTGAATCGAAAATTGATATAGTACCATATGCATCACCCACTATGACTCCCCCATCTTGAGTCAGATCTAAAGCAGTAACATGATTTGAAATAACCTTATTTGGTAATTCTTCGATAATGACATTTGCAAGAAGACTGATATCAAGAGTTTCTTTGTTGATAACTTTCACAACACCTTCTTTAGTCCAGCTAACAAGTTGACCATTTGACGCAATCTTAACCCCTGATATACTTTTAGATACTATATCGATTAAATGTCTTGTTTGAGATGTTTTGGTTTCAAAAAGTTGGATTTCTTCATCTGATGTTAAAAAAATTAAATATTCTTCACTTATTTGATCAATTGCAGAAATTTTTGGATCAAATTTAGCTTTTGTTGGTGATTCTAATGATTTATCAAAATTCTTAGTTAGTTCAGCATGGAAATCACCCAGATCTAATGAGTGTATATGATCTGAACCTATCCAAAGTTTACCATTGAAAGAATCTTTAAAGACTGAACCAATAATCCCATCATCTTCACTGAAAGTATGTCTTACACTCAAAACATTACTTGCTGGTTCATATTTACAAAGTTCTCCAGATGCTGATAATAATAACAAATCATCAATATCATCACCTGTAGCATAAACAAAATTTCCATTTAAGAAATCACCTAAAATGACATTCTTACCATCAATCATTGATTTTGTTTCAAATTCTTCAAATTTCCAAATCTTGATATGTCTTATCCCATAAGTCACAAATTGATTATCTAGCCATAATATACCATTGATTTGTGATGTACAACGATTAGCACCAACTATTGAAGTGTTTGGTCCATTCAACTTCCACAAATACAAGAAACTATCATGATTAACACCAACACTTAATAAATATTTAGAATTTGGTGAAAATTTCAAAGCTAAAATACCAAAATTATGTTCTGTTAAACTTAATATTGGGAAATCATTTGAATCAGGTGCTAATGAAAATATTAAGATTCTTGGTTGGGAACCAGTTTCACCAATAGCCAAAAGTTTTTCATCTGGTGATATAGCAACACATGTAATAGCCTTAATTTTTTGAATTTGTCTAGCCGGTGAGCTAGAATTCAATGATAGATCACCCAATTGATTACTAACAGCTGTATCATTACTTATAGTAATTGTATTTGACAATTTTAAATTTCCATATTGATCTCTTTCATCTTGTGATTGTTGAGGTTGAATCAAATTTAAATAAGCATTTGCACTATTACTATTATTATTTGTACCAATTGACGCGTTATAAGCACAGAAAAATCTTTGATCTGATGATAATGAACCTGTTTCTTTGTCAATTCTTGCAACAACAACACCACCGCTTGCAATATATGCTATTAAATTGGTGGAAGTAGCTATATTAAGCTGATTGTTTGAAGATGTTCCATAAATCCTGTCTATTGATAGTCTGGATTCATTGCTCATTTTTCAATTGACACCGGGAAATTAGCTTTTTCAATGTGGTGATGATTTGTGTTTACCTTATTTGTTTACATTTCGGTATAGATTTTTAAGGCATAGGCGCGCACGATCGCGGTATGATAAAGATTCGATTAACTTCTACAAATATTTGAATTAAAATATGTATCGTATATCATTAAATTATAAACAAGGAATTAATTAAAAATTATAAAGTATTAAATAAAGCGTTACCTAATGTAACAATCCTTCACGAAGTTCAATATCATCAGCAGTTATATCTTGTTTTTTATCTTTGTTAATCATTCTCTTAACAGAATCTTTCAAATTCCATTTAGTGTTTTTAGTACTTGGACCACCTAATTCTAAATCATAATCATAACCTTCATCATACGAAGTAAATTTAGAAATATCTGGTGGTGTCCATGTTTTCAATAACAATGAACTAACAACAACACTAACAGAACTAAAAGCCATAGCTAACCCAGCAACTAAAGGATTCATATGAATACCCCATGGAATTAAGACACCCATTGCAACTGGTAACATTGTTAAATTATAAACACATGACCAGAACAAATTCCATTTAATTCTTTTCAACGTTGCGATTGAAATTGAAATAGCTGAAGTTATACCTGATAACTTTAATTCATTATTCAATAAAACAATGTCAGCAGCTTCTAATGCAATATCAGTACCTGATGCAATAGCAATACCCAAATTAGATTGTGCTAATGCTGGAGAATCATTTATACCATCACCAATAAATGCAACGTTTAATCCACGAGATTGGAAATCAACAACTAGTTGTTCTTTTTCATATGGTGAAAATTCAGCATAAACATTATTTGGAGAAATACCAACTTGTGCAGCAATATTATTAGCAGCTTTTTTAGAATCACCAGAAACCATTGCAACTTGGTAACCATTAGATTTCAAATAATTAATAACATTAACTGAATCTTTTTTAACTTCATCTTGTAATTCTAAATAACCTGCATATTGACCATTAATTGAAACATGAGAAATTGTACATTCGGAATCAAATTTAATTCTATCATTGTTTTCCTTGACGAAATCATCAGAGAAAACTTTTAAATTACCAATTACAACATCAAATTTTTGTCCATTCAAGTCAACTCTTGCTTCAATACCTTTACCAATTTTAACTTCAGAAGATTCAATGAATGATTTAAATTGTCCTAATCTTTCCAATGAATATTTTGTGATGGCAACACCAATTGGATGTTCACTCTTAGATTCAACTGAACCAACGATATCTAAAACTGTATCTTCAGACCAATCACCAATAGTTTGAGAATTTTGAACAACCATAGATCCAATAGTTAAAGTACCAGTTTTATCAAACAATAAAACATCAACATTATTTGCACTTTCCAAGACATCACCACCTTTAATCAAAACACCATTTGAAGCACCAACACCAGTACCAACCATGATTGCAGTTGGAGCAGCTAAACCTAAAGCACAAGGACATGCAACAACAATAACAGAAATTGCAATTTTTAAACAAATATAAACTTTACCATTAACATTATTGAAAATTGCTGGAGGGTTTGGTAAAGCATAACAAATTATAGTCCAACAAATAAAAGTGAAAATAGCTAATGAAATAATAGTTGGAACGAAAATACCTGCGATATAATCAGCAAATGATTGAATTGGAGCTCTATTCATTTGTGCAGATTTAACTAATTTAATAATTTTTGAAAATTGGGAATTTTCTGAAGTTGTTGTAATTTTAACAAATAAAGTACCAACACCATTAATTGAACCACCAATAACTCTATCGGATTCTTTTTTATGAATTGGTAATGATTCACCAGTTAATAATGATTCATCAACTTCTGATTCACCACTTAGGATGAACCCATCAGCTGGAATTTTTTCACCAGCTTTAACTTCAACAATATCATTAACTTGTAAATAATTAATCGGGATTTTCATTAATGTATTGTTTTGATTAGCATCAAATTTTTCAGGACTTGCCACAATTGTACAATCAGTTGAAGTTAAATTGATTAATTTTGAAAGTGATGATGATGTTTCAGATTTTGCCTTATTTTCTAACCATTTACCTAAAGAAACAAAACAAATTAATAAAACACCAGTTTCAAACAGTGTCTTTGGTGTATGAGATTGATCATTTTTCACAATTGAAATCAAAATAGTTAAAACTGAAAAAAAATAGGATATACTAGTTGAAACACAAATTAAGGTATCCATTGTACCTGAGCCATGTTTAAATGAATTATAGGCATTTATGTAAAAAAATTTACCAACACCAAATTGAATATATGAAGCTAACCCCCATTCAATCATTGTTTCCATGTATATACCATGAAGTAAATGTGAGGAGATATCAACATCAGTTTCTGGAAAGACATTATTAACGATAAACATTGGAACACCAATTAAAAAAGATTTAATAAAACTTGATTTCCAAAATTGAATTTCTTTAACTTTACTTAATGAAGAGATTTGTGAAGTTGTATCCAATACATTTTGTGGTTCTGCTTGAATACCTAAATTATGGAAATCTCTAACCAAGTATCTAACACCAGTCTTTGTTGAATCATATGTTATAGAAATTGTAGTGGAATTAATCATATTAGATGAAATATAACCTTTTACCCCTGATAATTGTTCTTCGATATCAATTAAATCAACATTTGTATCCAAGTCAAATTTTGTGGTTTCAAATAATGGTGATTGATTTTCCTCGGTGATTGTTTCGATGATTTCAGCATCAAATCCACAATCATCTATAGTTTCTTTGAAAAGTTGAGGATTAATTGATTGGAAATGTTTGATTTTAGCTTCTTCGGTTACTAATGAAACATCAGCACTGACAACACCTTCTATATCATTCAATACATTGGTTATACTTGAAGTACAAGCACCACATGTCATACCTTTGATAGAAACTATAGTTTCTACTAGATCAGTTGGTTTTGATAAAGATTTAGTCAATTCAATAGTTTCCAATATTTCTGCATCAAACCCAGCATCATCAATTGCTTCTTTCAATTGTTCTGGGGTGATTGAATCATTATGTTTAACAACAGCTTCTTCAGTAACTAATGAAATATCAAATTTCAAAACACCAGCTTTAGGTTCAATAATTGATGTTATAGCTGAAGTACAAGCACCACAAGTCATGCCTTGAACACTTAATTTAGTTTCATATATCTTTTCTTGTTGTAAAACTTGACCATCTGAAACATCATCTTCGGTCGATATCACAATAGCATCAAATCCACAATCTTCTATAGCATCTTTAATAGCTTCAGGTGTAATAGCTTTTTCATGTTTAACACTAGCTTCTTCCGTTATTAAAGAAACCGAAGCTTCCTGAACACCCTCTATTTTCTCCAAAGTGGACGTTATAGCTGATGAACAAGCACCACAGGTCATACCAGAGACCGTCAGCACAGTCAATACCATTTTCTATAGTGTATATGAATATGTAGTTAAGTAGGCGGTAAAAATTGATGTTTATTGATTATTTAAATATGAATAGTAGCTTTACTTTTTTTTATTAATAATGGTTGTATGTGGTTATGTAAGCGTACTATAAATCATTTATACGGCATGGAATTTTTTTAATTAAGCGGGTGTTTTCATGGCGGTCTTTGAATGTCTTTTATGAAAAGTTTTAAAGCTGTGTTATATGTTATATATCATGGTTATTTCTATTGAAGGATATTGAAGGATGATCGATCACAGGCAGTGATAAAGTACTCCCTGAACTTAACAGTCACTTACTATATCGATGTAACTTGTAAGTTCATTTTGCAGTATAGTATAGCTTATTTTGTGCCACTTTTATCTAAGCCGATCACCGGAAAGCGCTGTATATATAGGCTCCCCAGCTCACCTGAACATCTGATGGTTTAAAATTTAAAAATTATAAGCTATCGATCACCACTGGAGCTATACTAAAAGCTATATGTATGTTTGAATACAAAATTGCAATAATTGGAGGTCTGACTTAGATCTATATACTTAATATTGCAATTCCAGTTCAAAATCCATGAGCTTGTTCCTAAAATTATGATACAATATACTAGATCATGCAGTATCATATAGCTGAAATGTTCACTCAATTAATGAGTTTTTCTATTTCACAGCTATAGCTACTCATGAGTAATAACCTTGTAAACAGGGCGTCACTGAGCAGCTTTGGATATAAGCCAGAATTATCCAATGTAGTGTCGTACCACTTTGATCGAATACTATATGAATATATATCGAATCAACTTCTAGCATTGATACGTCATGTTAATTTTGTATAATCTTATATTAGTCTAAATCAGCTCTATTGAAAGAGCTCTACAACATAATGATTGTATATCAAATGTATGAAAAAAATGTTAAGCCTATTGAATTAAAATTACGTCCAAATCTTATATTAAAGCTCTGAAACAATAATAAATATAATCAAGTAGGCCATTTCGTTGATGTATATTGACAATATTAACATCTAGTATCACTTTGACTTTGAAAATCATGAATGTATTAATTATATCACAAAGTCATTTGGTATTTAATTGAACATAAGTTTTTTCAAATCAAATGTATCTAATATGTCAAAACGCAATAACCCAACTTTGGTAGCAGATATGTGGGAGAGCGCAGATAACAAATAAAACTTGGTTTTTATGCGTCTATGCTTATGGATATTCAGCAAAATTGGATGTCATTTCTATAAATCCAGTGAAGTGCGTCTTGTGAAATAATTCTTTCAATTAATTGAATCTCGACTTTTACTACTTCGACGAGAAAAAAAAAAAAAAAGTGAGAACGCGCATATCATGAGGACGCGAGTATAATATTTCATCGTTACATTATGATACAAAATACTTAATATTGGGACCTATATTAACTCCTTGATCATCTGAATAATTATGTGTATTCCAAATAACATGTATATTATCCACCAGTTCACCAGTAAAGTTTCCGGATATGACACTTTTTAATCAAAAAATCTCCTCACTCCCTTAACATCGACTGAGTTATAGATTTTTGACTAGACAATGTAATGAACTTCTGCGCTCTATCAAAGTACTACATACATCAAGCTTTACTAGAAGTATAGATGATACTATAACATCTAACGCCAACATGTCTGCAAATTTTGGTTATTCATATTGGATTAAGATCCACACTCTCTACAAGCTTCATCATTGTATCAAATGTTTAGTACGAAAAAAATGTATTAAGCCTATTGAATTAAAATCACGTCCAAATCTTATATTAAAGCTCTGAAACAATAATAATAATCAATTAGGCCATTTGATTGATGTATAATATAACATCTATCATTTGTGACTTTGAAATTTGAGTAATAATGTATCAAAGTTGACTCTTGATCAGTTAATTAGTATTCAAGATTGGACACATGTTATACTTCAAACTAATCTTTTCACTTCAAAACTGTTAAGCTGTATATCCAGCTATCATATTCGATCTGTGGGAAGCCCCAGACAATAAGAGCAAATAGTTCATTGCAGTGTTCATGAATGGTTTAAACGTTAAATTTCAGTTTTTAATAGTAGATAGTTGACGCTACAGGTATTTTAATTTTTTACTTCTTCAGCAATTTCAAATTTCACGTAGGGAAATTAAATTAGTTGAGATATTACGAATTGAGGGCTTCATGATCAAATGATATATACGTGTATTCCAAATATCGTGGATGTTACGATGGCTATATCATGGTATCCAGAGATATGAGTCCTCAATAAAAATTAGTACAGCTACATATACATCCAGCTTCTTGACTTATAATTCTGATAACTTATAAATGTAATGAACTTTTGATATGTACTTAATCATGTCGAACATGTATTAGCTGTTAACATATAATATCTGAACAGTACTTACAGCATCTGGTACTACTGAAAGAATTGATAAATGGAGAGGAACTAGCTCTACAAGCTTCATCATAATGTTTAGTATGAATAAAAATGTTAGGCCAATTGAATTAAAATTACGTCCAAATCTCATGAAGCTCTGAAACGATAATAATAATCAAAAGGACCTCAACATATATGTATTAAGTTCCACATATATATAACCATAATCAAACCCCAAGTGCCATGGTAATCAACAACTAACATAAGTCAATATTATGCAACCTTATATTATGGAAATCTAATAACAACTTGAAGAATTTGGTTCGATTATGCACATCATGTAAACAACTATATGATCGACGTTCTTAGAAATAAGATTGAATGAGGTTTTGGCATCATTAAAAGTAGTAGCTGTAGGATAAAATTAAGCACACGTTAATATATTTAAAGGACTTCAAATTTCAAATTTTATAATTTCTGGTCGACGTCCGCGACAATCGTTGAAATTTGGAAAGGGATGTAGCAAAAGGTATTTAGGAGAGCTTTAATATATATACTAGTATATGGTATAAATTATTATATCGTTATATTATATATAGTATTAAGTTAATAACTTCATCACCAATATATCAATAGTAGACGTTGAGGTTCCATATTTGAACATATAAGTACGTCTACAATGAAATCTTATGATAATTAACTGATCAAAAATCAACATCTATTCAATTTTATTCACGTCCAAATTATATCTTTAAATGCAGATCTCTGGAACAATGAATATAATCAAGGATAGACTAATATTATATATTAAAAATTCTTAATAAACAAATAATCAGAATCTTAATATATCAATGGATGTATCAGCCAAATTATGGTTTCCGACGCCTGGAACTCGAGAACTTATTAAATACCGATACAAATTAATACTAGCTGATTCAAACAATACCTGATAGTGGCTCTATTTTCTGTGAAGCGTTTAAGTTGCAACTAGTTCAAATTAGCTTAAGATGGTCAAATTCAAAACAAATGGATTTTCAAAAACAATTTATAATTTTCAATGATTTTCTTTGGTCGAAGAACGCTTTGGATTATATAAGTAATTATATAACCAATATAGAGATATAATTTATATCAATCTTTGATATAATATAGATATTTAGTTATAAAGTACAATATATGATCATCCTACATTTTTTCAATATCACATCCAATTTATCTAACTCATTTCTAATATTATCTATATAATTATATATACAATATATTGTATACTTATAATTAGTCAATCTGCATCTAGATATATAAGCAAATTACACAGCTAGTATACTATAGTGCGTCTTTTCCCTGAAATTACGCTAATTCGCTTTTAATTATAAATTAATTAACAGTATAACGTTCTTTACTTATTAAACTTTGTAAGCTGATTCATATATAAAGTGCTCACTTATATACGCGTACGCGCTATTCGCCAATATTGATCTAGGTAAAACAGAACAATTAAATATAATATTATAAGTACCAGCTTAACTGTTACAAATTTATATTGAATCTTATAATATAAATATAATTAAAAAAATCAACATCTATTCAATAATAATCACGTCCAAAATATATCTTTAAATGCAGATCTTTGAAACAATGATAATCATGAATAAAATCATATATATTGAAAATTCTTAATAAACAAATGTAATCAGAATCCAATTCTATTTTCAGAAAATACTTGATTATCAACAAAGAAATTCAGATAACAGCTAATAGATTTTTCTGGTTCACATCAATTCGTATTACTTTGGTTAACCCATTACAAATAATTGGTACGAATCATTTAAGTTAACAAAAGCATCCAAAAGCCTAAACATTATAAGGCACCAATTCCAAACAAGTTAATCTAATCGACCCAAAGATAGCTAAATTTCTCATAAACAGAACACTTTCGAAGACATATTTAATTCGACCCATATTAGATTAAAATGAAATTTCACATACAAAATTAGTGAGCAGCTTGTAGAATTATGAATGATCAAAATATTTCAGATATTTGAAATTTTTGTTTTTCGCGTTTGGTTGAGGTACGCAGTGGATTATGAGAGAGATTATATAATCAATATAGAGATATATAGGTGATAATCACCTATACTTTCATTTATAAAGGTTTTAGAAAATAGTCTTGGATACATATATATTAAATTCAATAACAAATTCATTTATATCATAATTTATACATAATTTTATAATTTATATAGATCATTTAAAAAACATACACCATTAACGA